CTGAGTTTTTTTATTCATCTTCTTTTTTGAGGTACTTAATACAGCAATCTGCATTATCATAAATAAATCATTACAATTCTAAAAGTATTATAAATCTGTCATTTCTTGCTGTAATGGCACAGCTTTAAGTAAATGCAGAGTCGCCCATCCTAGCTCTCGTGGAGACAGACCTTATGCAGCTCCCCGCTAAGCAGCTGGCACAGTGGAATTGCGCCCATATGTATTGGGAGGCTAACTTATCACAGAAGGTCAAATCACAGGAGGCTGTATTAGGAGGCCATATGTATCGCAACCTGTTAGAAAAGTCCTTTCACTGTGCCCTAAGTTTGCAGTTTAGAGTGCATGTGTGTTTTTTTGTCCATGTTTTCTGTCAAGTGTTACACATCTGATAAACGGATAAACCTCCACAAACTGCCATTATTACACTTCCTGTTTTGAACAGCATAAACGACAAAAGACGCAGATGATAGCTGAACAACATTAATGCTTGTATGGAGTCCTTTTTTGTTTTTTAATGTTTTTAAAAGCATGAGCAGACATTATCTGGACCAACTGACCCTTTTGATACATTTCAATACACTTGCAAAATTGACCCTTCCCTAAATGTATCACCCTCTCTTATGGCAACTAAGAATATTTTTCTAACAATTGAGTGATTAGGAGTATGCTGATGGCCCTCTTTTGTAGAAGTCACAGCTAGAATAAACCTATATTCAAAATAAGTGTAATTAATAAATTCATTCCTATAATAAACATGGTTACTTATGTGTTCCGTGAAAGTTGGCTATCACATCTGCGTTTTATGCAAGTGTGATGGAAGTCAACACACTACCCTTCGAGCTACCGTACTGAGCACATGCTGCCCGTTTACAAATTTTACATGACAAGCTTGCATTTCACCTTCCTAAGTTTATTTAAAAAGCATTTTTATAGATGTTAAAATGCTTCAATGCCTGTCATGACAGTTTGAAATTATTCATTACTGTCCAATAAAACTGCCTTGCATAATTTTATTTTTTACAGATATTATGCAACTTGTAGCTCTGAACGTCGTCTCTGAGAAGGTCAACGATCGGTCAGCATGCTCAATTTTATTTTTGCAAGAGACTGTGAGTATACAAAACATTGAGTAGTTAATGTCACTGCATGTAAACAAACGAAAATTTAGATAAATTGCGTCAAAGCGAAATCACAATTTCTAGCAGAGGCTAATGATCAAGTTATAGCAAAGCAATGCCAGTATAGTTAAACGCCTTTATAACAGGCATAGCCAATCACTACGCATAGCTTTCATAGATTACGAAAAGGCGTTTGATTCAGTAGAAATATCAGCAGTCGTGCAGACAGTGTGAAATCAGGGCATCAATGAAGTATATATAAACATCCTGGAAGAAATCTACAGGGGATCAACTGCTACTATATTGCATCATAAAGAAAGCAACAGAATACCAATCAAGAAGGATGAAAAAGCCACACGCACGTTTGTGCAGGCTGGGCGTTTTTTTGTCATGAAATGCGTCGCGGCGCATTGCAAGTTGGCAACCTCGTGCGCTGTTGTGACAGTGCATTTTATCTTTTCATTCCGCAAAAATTTTTGCGAATATATTGGTGGGTCCCTCGCTCATGTTCTATAGAGTTTACTCATGCATCAAGTTGGCGGCACCATGTGACGTTGCGTGAATCATGAATAAATCACGGAATTATTGATTCCGTGATTGCATGAAACAACAGCTGTACAGCTGTATCTGAAACAGTGAGGAACTACATTTAGCGTCGCATAGGTGTAGAGTTGTCACATTTTATTCGTTTATTACCTTTCATGAATCACAGTGAGGATCAGAACTGTATTAGGTTTCTGGTGCAATATTTCAATGCCATAGCTGTCATTTAACCTCAGCAACGAAGTTTGTGTTGTGGTGATGCATAAATTTTGCACTGTTTTCACCTGCAGGAATTTTCAATCCCGAGGACCAAAATGATATGGAAGAAATTTTGAAGCTCCTGGATTCCTCTGACATCGAATTCAGTAATGACGATGATGACTAGCTGGCAGAAATTCGAAATCGGCAATCAAATCAACCTGGCAGTGAAAGCAACAGTGACAATGACGAAGACATTGAGCACTCCGTTCCCGCACCTGCTGCCTCAGGTGACCAGTGTAGTAAGAAACCGAAACTGAAAGTGCGAACAAAAGTATTGACGCAAATGAAGATACAGGAAGACGAAAGTGTGTACACACACACTTTCGTGTGTGTGGCGGCGTCGCTCGTGAGCGGGCGCGTGAAAGAAATTCTTTGGAACGTTGAAGAAGAAGGTCGGACCGAAGCAGTCGGGCAGCAGTGGCAGAGCGAGGGTTGTGGCGGCTACCGGCCCGTTACGGTGCGCAACCTGTCACGACTAGACTGCCGACGACCTCGGGTGACGAGTTACGCCAGGCGACGACGGTGCTCGTAGTCACGGTCGAGACCTGCTGGCGAGTAAGCGACTACGTGGGTTGCCGAGTCAGGGAAGCTGAGGCGTGCTGTGCAGATCTATCGGGTGTTCTCGGACGTGGCCGAGCACGGATCCGACCAGCCACCGTACAGCGAGCAGCTGTCCCAGCGACGGCCGTGGTGCGATGGCAACTCCGGGACCTTCTCAAATCCAGGAGACGCAGCGACACGTCGGACCATCTCGGCGACAGTGGCGTGAGTGGATGACGTCGACTGATGCGCGAACTAGATTCGCTGTGTCAGGGCCGCGTGAACCGTGACTACGTGTTTTAAACCTGTAGAGCGAACTCGACTGGCACGAGTTAGGAGTGCATGCATGCAGTCTCAGTTCATGTATGCAATCATGTCCAACTTTTATAAACGTCCTGTCTTTGTATATGCCCTATTCCTTGTCGGTTGAGTGCCTGGGCCCACACGAACCTCACACCAGTCAACAACCCCTGCCAACGACAGAGAGGTCGCACCTTTTGGATGAAGAAGCCTTTTTCCAAAAAGCCTGACCCGCCTGGAGTCGTTGAAAGGGCATGTGTTTTGGTTGATGTCAAAACTCCATTGAGCTACATTTTAGAGTATTTTAGCGAGCAGTTTTTTGAAAATGCCACTGAAAAGACCAATATGTACCATATGACAAAGCATGGAAAAGCTCTTCAAACGACCGCGCAAAAAGTAAAGCAGCTGTTCGGTATGCGTTTAGTCACGGGCTGCATTAGATTTCCACAATTACAGATGTATTGGAAAAGAGGGTACCATTTTGATCTCAACAGCAGCGTAATGACACATGAAGAATTCAAGAAGTTACGGTCAGGTGTGCACTTTGTTGACACGGAAAAACCGCGAGAAGCAGATGATGTGAGCAGGCTATGGAAAGTTCAACCAATAATTGATGCAATTAGGAACCGATGCACACAACTGGAGAAAGCTCCCAATTGCTACTCAGTTTATGAGCAAATGATACCATTTACTGGTAGGTGTCCTCTCCGAAAATACGTGAAAGGAAAGCCAAGACCACTCGGGCTTAAAAGTTTTGTTGTGACCACATCTGAGGGTTTAGTAATAGACTTCGAGATCTATCAAGGAAAGTCCACTCTCCTTGCTGAAACGTCACTTGGCTTGGGCCCGAACGCTGTGCTGAAAATAGTGCACACATTGCCAGAGAAATTCTCGATATTTTTTGACAGGAACTTTACCACTATTCCTCTTCTGAACGAACTGCTGAAGAAAGGCATTGATGATATGGGTACTATCATGACAAACCGAGTGCGTAGTGTCTGCTTCAGAAGCGATTCAGAAATGAAGCAAGGCGACCTTGACGAACTCACTAGAAACGATGAGAAAGTAGGTATTGTCAAATGGAAAAACAGCAGGACGGTGCTACTGGCTTCTACTTGTGCCGTGGCCACAAAGGTCCAACATGTGAAGCACCGGTCCAAAAAGGAGAAGTACATCGATGTGCCCGCACCGAAAGTTGTCAGCCGCTACAATGCGAGCATGGGAGGTGGATACCTGTGATCAACTAATTGAATATTACCGAGTGGCAGTGAAAACTAAAAAGTGGACCTTGAAGGTCAGTTTGCACATGGTGGATCTTGAAATTGCCAACTGCTGGCTAGAATACAGGGACACCTGTCGAAAAGATGCGGTGCTCAGATGTAACACAATGAGCCTCTTGGACTTTTGACTTGCTGTCACTGAGACACTTTGCGCTTCCAAACGCAAGAGACTCGAAAGCAACAACAAACATATGCAACCAAATCATTCTACCGAGAGAACCCCTGGAGCTGCAAAGATGCCCGGCATGGACAAGCGTTTGGACTCATGACCACTGGCCATCAGTGGACAGCTTATCGACTGCACATTGCTGCAGGCTTGCAGGGTGTACTTCTCGCACTCAGAGGCCTTGTGAAAAATGTGCGGGGATCTGAGGCGCGCCTACGACAATTTCGCGGGCATTCCGCCACACGGCCACACCCTTTTGCTTTCCTGCTCTGTTAACACAACGTGGCGATAGATGGCGCCACGAGCGGGCACGACACGTTGTACGCGCGCGCCGAGGGAGCGCTCTCTTCTCCATGGTCGGGGCCGGGTAAGCACGTGTTTTTCCTTCGTCCACGTCCCCTTTGGGAATCGCCGGACTGTAGCCTGCCTGGGGTGACCTTGGGCACCTCGGCAGGCGTGTTTACTTGAGCGCTAGCTTCGGTAGCGTACGCTAAGCCCACAGCGGTGCCTAGTGCTTGAAGTGGTCGTACCACAACGAGCCGCACTTGCCGTAGGCCCACGCGTACGAGGTTTGCTCTAACACTCGCGCCCAGGCCCAGTGGCCATCGTGAGTGCGCAGCATAGCCGCGAGGGACCTTTTCCCGACCGGCGTGTCAAAGCTCGCCATTGCCAGCTGCGACGTGCTCGCGGTTTTCCCCTTATTGCGAACGTTCGCGTGCGGGTGCCTAAATCGTACGTTCAAACCGATGTTGGCAGCCTTTGCCGAAAGTCAAATGCTGTTTTTCACTGGTAGATTCGGAGCAGGTTTTTTTGCTCCGTGGCGACGAAACCGCATTTCACTGGTAGATTCAGAGTGGATCCGCGCTTTTCACTGGTAGTTTCAGAGCAGCTCGCTCCGAGGCGGATTGCTCGCACTGCTCCGCCGACAAGTCGCAGATTCGGGCGGAAACACGACGAGCAGCATACGTCACTTCCGTCGTTGTACGTTGCTGAGTTTTGCAAAATGGCTGCGTTCGCTGCCTTGGCGGAACTTCTGTCTAGCGACGAAAGCACTTCAAGCAGCAGCTCGTCCAGCTCAGACGACGAAGACTTCGAGGAAAGACAAGCGCTATGCGAAGCCTTCTTTCGGGAAACTTTTTCGGAGTCCCACCGCGAACGTCCCAAAATTTTGGGGTTCATCGAGAACGTTGCGCGGCTGTACACAGACGAGCAGGTAAGCGCGGAGCTCCCTCTTTTCATAATACTACATGAACCTAATTTCATCTTTTTATCATTTCCTTCTCTGCAGTTCCGTCAAGACTTCAGGGTGTCGAGGCGTGTCGCGGAAACGTTGATCCGTGGTTTTGAAGGCTCGCGTCACTACCCATGCAGTGATCGTGGTGGGTCCCCCTCGAAAACCGCGGAAGAGCACATTCTGGTCTTTCTGTGGTAAGTCTGCACGCTGTTTTAAAAGTCATGCCTACCAGTGTGTATAATCTTAATGCTTTCAAGTGCTTCGGCGTAGAAGTACGTTTTTTCGTTGCGTGCGCAGAATTTTGACGGGGAGTCCAACCATTATAAATTTTTGTTCGTGTGTTTATGTGCGCGTGTGTAGAGAATATACACATGTGAAATTTAACAATTTCGGCGGCGTTAAATCTCCCTAGTAGCCTTCCCGTGGCTACGCCGCTTGTGCTTTTTGTCCTTGAAAGTTACTAAGTGTGATGCAATGGAAACCAATGAAATATGACCGCTTGCAACTGCACAGCCAGAGAGAACAGTGTTAAGAGCTTCTACTTTTCTTACGGCTGCTAATTTTGATGCAAATATTTCATGCCTTTATTTCACAAAGCAGGCTTTACTTGATCACTTTCTTCCATAATGTGTGTTTGCTGTGTCAGGTTTGCTGCAAACAAGGCGTGCCTGAGGGACGTTGCTGGACGCTTTGGCATGGCAACTGCGACAGCATTTAGAGTCGTGGAGCGCACGCTCGAATATTTCCTTGATATAGCCGAAGAGGTAATATCATTTCCAGGAGATCTTGATCAGCTGTCAGCGGACTTCGAACAAGTAAGAATTTTAGGTATTTCACTGTTCCATGGCAAACACAACAAATGAGTTGTCTAATTGAAGCTTACTTTAGAGAATAGTCACATAATACATTGATTGTAGCAGGTTAAGCTGCCGTTGGGGCACAGGGGATGTGGTACTAAGTTGCGCTTGAAAGATGGGGTTATTGTCAAGCAGTCTCACTATCAAATGAGAAATGCTAGTGAAACATGTATTGTTCATTTACAGTGCACATAAAAGCAGGGTGTCTGCCAACGTGGAAAAGTCAGGGAATTTCAAAAAAACCAGGCCAGGTCATGAAAACTGACAGCAGTTCTGTGGGACCGTCACAAAAATAAGCATCGCCATTCATCAAAGCTTAAAAAGTCTCTCAGCTGCAACTACAGTGGGCTGCTGGAAGGTGTGTGAAAAAAAAAAAAGGACAGTGCATAACTCTTGCTTCTGAGTGTAAACGCGAAAGGGACCCATAGAACACAAAGTTTACTGACATTTCAGTACCTCATATGGGAGAGAGCCTTGTTTAAAAGTCATGAAAAAGGCACAGTGTACTTCAGTACGCCTAAATACGTGACGTAAGCAGAGAGAGTACATTGTCAGAAGCCTCCCATCACTCCTGTGCAGCGTATGTACAGTTGTCTGTATCTGGATTCGAGAGTTTTACAAGTCTATTTGGTGGTCTGTGATTCCGTGTGTTCAGGGAGGGCAGTCGAGGCCACGCCTCGTTTTGTGGTATCATATTTGTGTTGTTTAACTTTTACCAGTTTCACCGATGTACTGGTCACAATTATGTCAGCCTATGGCATAAACTAGACTAAGGAAATTTCTGCTCGGCAACTTGTCCTTCACATTGGCTAAAGCATTCTTTAACATCCATGTTGGTATATCCACTCTTTTGGTGCCTGTTGCTTCTACATATCACACGGCATATCTGACTCACGTCTGTAGATTTATGCATGTTTTGTCTATGCCACGATTTCGGCCCGGCTTGAAGGCCGTCTGGTTTTTCTAGGCTAGAACTGCTATCAGCTGAAGCTTGCTGGGCTACTCATGTCTTTTAATAATAATAATAATAATAATAATAATAATAATAATATTATTATTATTATTATTATTATTATTATTATTATTATTATTATTATTATTGGTGGTGCAACACCAAACGTCTTCAGCTACACACTTATGCTGGTAGCTCGTGTTTCAAGGGTAGAACTTGGGTAACTTCAGCTAAATTTTTCATTTCAGTTTTGTGAGATTGTGTAAATAAATCTGCAATTATTTTTCAGTGTCACGTCTACAGCAGAGTACGTAAATCAAGGTAACATGCGGACATTCATGATTCATCTATAGAATCAAGGAAACTGTTCCACCTTGACAAATTCATTCTCACCACCACATATTCAAATGTCAGCACTTTAAACGTTGACCCCAGCTTTCATTTCACTTCAAGTATGACAGCCCAGATAAATGCATGTGCTTGTCGTAAAAAAAAAAAACATTTTGCAGTATGGCTATGTTCTTGCAACGTTGTCGTTACTCGTTGTCAAGGCAAGATACATAGAATATGCGAGTAGTAGTTATTTACTTTTTTTGTTGAAAAGTATACTTTAGAGGTGTGCAAATTAGGCGGCGGCGCAAATCAATAGTAAATACATCAATCTAGGTCGAATCAGTTCTAATCTAATCTACATATAAATAGGTGAGTCAGTAAATACAGTAGTTCAGGTCGATCTAATTAAATCCAATCCACATCCTAACCGGCGTGGGCTACAGCCATTATAGTAAAATAGATTTTACTCCAGTGGCAGAACCGGCCAGGCTCCTGTGTTTTCATTTTACACGAATGCCACCAAATGGCACCACTTCTAAGTTTCTCAGCAGCTTTGACTGCGATGTCAAACGATCGCAGACACCTTCAAACTTCATCTGCGGTTACTCTTAACTTGTGTGTTTTCTTCCTGGTTCTTCGGAACATCAAACAGCTGACTTGCTCACTGCCTAGCTCAGGGGTTTTATTTTGGCCAGATTTACATGTTTTTTCACAATTGTCGCATGCCCTGAGAACATTTTGAGTGCGTCTGGTAATTATGTTTACCTTTATAGAGCGCCCGGTTTTTTTTTTTCTACTCGGGTTTGTTTGCAGTGTACAGTGTTTTCCATGCAAACGTGGCAGTCATGGAATTTGCTTTGAATCATGATGGAAAACCTGGGAAATTCAAGGAATTTAGAAATATGAAATTGGTAGACACCCTGAAAGGGACCCCTGGCACTTAAAATTTCTAATGCCTTTTGCTGTGGTGTTCCGTACAATGATTCCATAGTTCTGGCATGTAAAAGACTTGTGTCACCTAAAGTTAACTCCGCTAAGACCAACAAAACTACTGCATCAAGTGTTAAGATTATTTACTTCAAGAAGTTCACTACAGGTGTGTTCTTTTTCTCTCACTGTCACAGGTGTCAGGAGTGCCCAACACGATCGGTTGCATTGACGGATCCTACATAAGCATCCGCTGCCCTGCAAAAAAAGTGCGTTCAACCTATGTGAACAGGCACAGTTATCCGTCACTGACACTGCAAGCTCTGTGTGATCACAAAAAGAAGTTTCTCGATGTGACTACTGGACACCCCAGCAAGATTCACGATTCGAGAATCTTCAGGACATCGAGGCTTTCTTCAAAGTTGCCGCATGTGTGCTGTTCCGGGAAGTACCACGTTCTCGGGGACGCTGCCTACCCGCTTCGAGATTACCTCATAACCCCATTCAGGAATTATGGTCACCTTGACGCGAGGCAGCGCGCCTTCAATTATCACTTTTCGGCAACGAGAGTGAAGATTGAGAATGCCTTTGGAGACCTCAAGGCCAGGTTCCGCCAGCTGCTGCACCTGGACTTTCTGTTTGTAGACAAAATGAACAAGTTCATTATAGCTTGTTGTGTTTTGCACAATATGTGCATTAATTGTGGTGATGTGGATGTGCCGCCGTACATCGATGATGAACATGCACCGTGGGAATGGGAGGCACAACCGGATGATGTTCCCCCCAACAATGGCCCGCTTGCATCAACTGAAGATGCACTGCGTCGCCAAGGCGAGGAGAAGCGTGAGCGCTTAATGCAAGCGATGCGCATTTGATTTAAAGTTAGGACTGCCTACGTGTACACAAAACAAGAAACGTTAAGGTGTTGTAAATTTTGTTTCGTGTTGTAGAGATTTCTAGCAGAAAATAACACTAAAAGACGGGACGAAGCAAGGACACAAACTACGGCGCTGACTAACAAGCAAATTCGTTTTATTCTTCTAATCCGCGTATATATACTTTACCACAATCTCAAGGAAACAAAAAAAAATAGAATCATGATAAATGCATGCCCCTCATTTCTGAAGCGTATCATTTACAACGGCGGCGAAACATGCATCAGTTTCCCTTATATTTCCCTCTCTCTGAAGGAGTTACCTCTCCTGTCTTATTGAGCATTTCTTTCCTCCTGAGTCAGCCAACATTTGTGTGTGTCTTTTTTTTGCTTTTTCTCACCCTTCAGATTAGTGGTGGAGTGTATATACCTAGACTGGAAGAATAAGACACATTTGGCTGTTAGTCAGTGCCATGGTTGTGTCTCTGCCATGGTTGTGTCCCTGCTTTGTCCCATCCTTTAGCACTGTTTTCTACAGGAAACACTGTACTAACCAGCTAAAATGCATGCCGCACTGTGTTGTAGTGACTCATCTTGCTAGGGCGCAGCCTGATTTTTTTGTTTCTTAGCTTTGTGACACGTAGCAGCTTCCACATAGCGTGAGTCAACCCAAGATGTTTGCAGGAATCTGACTGGATCAGTGTAATTGTTTCCTATGCGAAGCCATCAGCATGCTTATTGCTGACTAGTGCTAACGCCGCAGCGTGTTGGTCGGTATGGCTACTGCAGCTGAAGATAGCTGGTGATATTGATAGTAACTGCACTCTTCGTGCTGGTGAGACACGAGAAAGTGACAAAGTCAACCGGCCAAACATAGCTGGGCTCCAGCTCTCGTCAGCCACCACAAACATTCTGAGAAACATGTAGTGACATTGGCATAAGTCCAAGCTAGTGCAGGCTACACTGAGGAGCATTTGTGTTAATGGAACAATGTCACCAAAATTACGAGCTTGAAATGTTTGTGTTGTTTGTCTTGCAGTTGGGGCACTATGCTTGTCAGTTAAACCTGTCGCTTCGAGGAATATTCGTAATGAACACCCATCCCGACTCATTGTTTCCCACGCATGGTGCCCAAATTCAAAAAGTGCGCTCTGAACGTCACAAAAGCCCGAGTCTACATAGTCTTATGACTCCTGAGATTGTTCGCTGTGTAATTTTTTGTGATTCCAGTAGTAGTTTTACAGTGATGCCAAAATTAGTCACAAGGAGCCATTCTTGCATTAATTACACAGTACATTGCAATATTTATGATCAAAGTTTGGGGACTACCGGACACAATGCTCTTAATTAAAGCATTCAAGTCAAAACAAAAATTTGTCAGGGGTCCTTTAGGCATGGTGACTGCTGCTGTGAGAAATGGCTTCTTTGTCATGCAATTTGGTTATTGCTTGTGCATTAACATTTCATTTGCCTGATGAAAATTTGCATGGACAAACGTTCTGCATTTCTTAGTCTTTGTTCAGCTTTTCTTACCATCAAAACGGCGTGAAATTATAATGATCATTGCAACTTTGTCTTGTAAAAGGGCCCTGGAACCCTTATTTCACCTCAACAACAAACATTGTCAATCTGTTATCAATGCGCCTGCCAACGTGCACATGTGTACAATGATTACAATAAACATGCTTTTCACATTTTATTCATTTTTCTTCAAGTTGAAAATTTCACGGAGAAGATTCATCTTTTCTTTGTGCATTTCTTCTCGTCGCTGTGTTTTAGCAAGTCGTCGCTCTTCCCTCTTGCTGTCTCTTTCAGCCTTTCGCTCTGCTCGCCGTTCATCTAACTCCTTCATTTTTTCAAAGAAGGTTTGCAGGTGGAGCTCGCGTGCTGAATTCGGGCGTTTTCTTTTTGAATCAGGAGTGTCGTCCTGCCCAACGGAGCTGGATGGAGAGTGTGACGTTGACGAGCTTGAACCAGCAAGTGGAACAGACTCGGTGGATGACTGTGGACATGTCTTTTTTGATACCACTCCACTTGCGTCGCGTACCACTTCTGGTTCCAAGCTGTCGTCCAGCCACTTGATTTTTTCAAGCTCGGCCTCGTAGGGGACTTCTTGTGGGGAACAGCCAGACGTATTATTTTTCCCAGCTGCCACATTTTTTCTTTTCAGTACGGTTTTGTACCGAGAGCAGCACTGCTCACCAGTTCTCATTACACCCAGTTTATTATTAATGTCTGTTGCAATTTTTTCAAACATGGCCTTTTTGTTGCGAAATTTTTTCAGAGGGCCAACTTGAGGGAAATATGAGGCGTAGAGGTCCAGCAGCAGCTTCGTCTCGCCACTCGTCCACTCACACCCTGCAGCTGAAATATGCATTATACACACATAAAATACATATAAACTGGCATTAATAGACTTTTTTGATACAGGGCACGAAGCTATATGCTCTCTGAGCCATAGAACACTTACTGTAAAGCATTAGTACTGTCACACTGTTTTGGCACAGCAAATATTGGGTGCTGTGGGGATCGCTTTGCATATCAGAACAGACAATCATGCAAATTCATAATATTACTATACATAACTTATTCACAGCATAATTTTCTTAGAGAGTAAATTTGAAAACACTGCATAATAAATATGGGGCCTCTTCGTGCAGCTGACTATTCGTTGAATTCAATTTTATTATTTAAGCACCCAATATTGAGAAGCGTGAGCAAGAAGCCATTAAATGGTTTTGCGTAATTCGTGGTTTTTTTGAGAGGGTTTGCAATCTGCTGGACCTATCTTCATCCTAATGCCACTAGCATGTTTGTGTATGCATGCTTACCACGTGCAGGAGTCCCTGGCTGACAAGCCCGACTTGGTGACGCACCAGTAGACGCTGCAGAATCTGTGTTTGATAATTGAAAAGCATTGTAGTATGTTAATATGTGTTAATTTTAAGCAGGTACACAATTTTCTTCAAGTAGTCCTTACACGTTGCTCGTCAAGGCATTGTCCTCTACATATATAGACGACTGTATACAAAACTAGTTCTACAGAGACACATGTAGACCAATTTACCATTTCCTAAAAATGCGCCCTGTGTATGTGACAAAGCGTCGGTGGCGTCACACTGTGTAGCACCTTCAAATAGAGAAAAAGAAAAGACATTTGCGGGTTAACACCAAAAGAGTAGAGGTCAAGAATCACCAAGAAAACGTTACTTCTCTAGTAAATTTTTCATGCATGTATTCATGCGCGAATACAGAGATCGCCATGATTTTTATTAAAGGTAATACAGCAGCTTGGTGAGCGCTGCGAAAATTCCGGCGCTTGTGATATTCTAAATAGTAGGACTGTAAGGTGTTGGGTAAGCAACTGCTCTGATTAAAAAAAAAAGCCTGCTCACAACATGCCGTATTTTTGCGAGCGCCGATTGCGGCCGTTACCACGTGTACCCGCATGCTTTACAATTATCTGACCAGTCTTCATGCGGAGCTATCAAAGTTAGCATTCCGTGCAGAGTTTATTATCAGCGTCAAGTACGTCGCACTTACCGTTCAGATCGTTGCCGCTGTTTCTGAAAACGCCCAGCAACAGCCGACGCACAGCCGGTGTCAATTCCGCGTGCTCGTCCATACTTGCTACACAACTGCTGTTCGCGACTGCGTTAAAGTGTTCTACAAAGCTTTAACTGCGTGGTCGAAATGCGCGCCCTGCAGTGGCGGCCAAAGTTGCCAAGGAAACGAAGAGAGCGGAAAAATAAACTGTTTCCGGAACCGGTTTGCGTGACGTATGCATAATCAACTTCCGGGGCACCTCTCACGGAGCATTCTCGTGTTTCACTGGCAGAGGTGGCTTCGTGCGATCCGAGTGCTCGCTCCGGGATTTCGGCGGTCGCTCTGAATCTCCCAGTGAAAAACACCAAAAGGGACTGGGCAGACCATTTGAGTGAACTCGCGTTTGCAATTCCGAACCTCCGAGAGTCGCTCTACTGGTTTCTCTCTCGCCTTCCTTAATTTCGGAAGGGAGTAAGCAAATCCGGTGACCAGTGTCATGCAATGCCAGCTCGGAGACGAGGAAGAACCGGCAGACTGTTCTGCTTACGCTTCCACACTTCGGGACAGGCTTTGTCGAGCTCTCAGTAGAGCGAGGCAGAGTTTGGCATCGGCCAGGGCTGAACAAAAGGCCCAGTACGACCGAAGACGTCGCCACCTTTCATTTGAGGTGGGTGACCTCGTACTGAAGCGCAACCACGCTCTTAGCGACGCGAGCAAGGGTTTGTCAACTTCGCTCGCTCCAAAGTGGCTTGGTCCGTACCGAGTGGAGAAAGCTTGGACTCCACTCGCGTACTTGCTGAAAGACCCGCTTTCGGGAAAACTCAGCCGTGCCCACATTGCAGACCTGAAAGCCTTTGCGTCGAGGTCTGACGAGCCTGCACCAGCGCCCAGTGGCTTTTCGCGCAAGCAACGACGCACACCCGCCGTGGCGGACCACATTCGGACCACGCACCGGTATAATCTGAGGAAGCAGTCACCTTAGTGATTTCGTGCCGAACGGCGGGCTTATTTCCGCAACCGAAGGCCCTCATTTATACTGTCTAGTCTCAGTTAACTAGCTTTTTTTACAGCCAGTGCTTGCAAAAAAGTCGGTCCCGCCCAGTTACTGCTGCTGATTTTCTGTTGAGCGTTCATGTTTTCTTTTTTTTTTTTTCTTCTCCCGTTTCGCCCTGCGGAGGGGTAGCGACCGGTTGCTTGTGGGAACATTCAAGGACACTCTGGTGGTGCAGGTGTCTGTGTCTGTGTGGTGCGGAGAGGGGGAAGAACCGGGTCAATGACCCCTACGTCAACATAGGTGGCGCTGGTTGTCGATGGGGCGAGGGGGGAAGCCGAAGACTGTCAGCGGTGCGCCATTCTTGTTCTGGTGCCGGTCGCCGTGGTCACATGCCCTTCAGCGACATGCCCTCCAGCCAGAAACCCACGCAGCGGGCGCCTCGGCGGCCAGAACCTTCCGCCTCGGCACCACCCAAGTCCACCAGGCGGGCGTCCCGGCGGCGGGGATCAACAACATCGGCACCGCCACCGGTCCCAAAAACACCAGGGCGGAGCGTGGCCACGTAGGCGCGGCAGGAGGTCCCGCGCTACTTTGTGAGCGACGCACCGTGAAAAACACAGCGGTGTGTTCGGCGCGACCTGCCGCTGGACCATGTCGCTTGGCCATTCCGGGGCTGCACGCTGGCGGAGAGCGAGAAGGCAGCCAGAGGCGCCCAACTACCTACCGATGCAGCGATGGGGTTCTGCGCCACGTGCCGCGTAACCGTGCACTTCAAGTGCCACTACAAGGGTGCCATGCACGTGGCGCGGACAAAGGCGGCCGCCGAGAGAATGGACACCGAGAGGAAGGCGCCAGATCCAGCCCCGCTGAGCCAGCGCTCGGACACAGACCTGGCGGCCCTGTGCCGACAGCGAATGGGGGAGGACCCCCATTTCGCGGCACTGCTGTCAGGGCTGCCACCGCCCGCAGCCACCGACGGACCACCTATGGACGGCGTCGCCACCATGGACGTCGACCGTCTTTTGGAACTATAAGGCACAGCAGAGCCCCCCCTAAGAACGCTGCAGCAGGCAAAATATATGTTTTTTTGTATTTCTCATGTGTACTCTGTGTTGTTTTATTTTTTTTCCCTTCAGCAGCAGTTGCAGAGCGAGGCTGAGGCTAGCTGTTGCCCAGTGCATGACGCCTTTGTATGTATGGGCGACGACCGGCTGCCTTTGCAGACCGGTATATATAGGGTGAA